CTTTCCCTTTCTCGTCAAAATGAAAGTTTGTGCAAAGCCCGAGGTGTTTTGCAGAGGTTTCCGGCTATTAAACTTTGCTGCAGTATGTGTCGCTCTGCTGGTGGCTGGTTTAGGCAAGGCAGAGAGCTGGAAAGCCTAGTTTGGTGCTTGCTACCACTGACTTCCCCAGGGAGGACAGTGAGACGCCACCAGTGAGGTTATGGGCATGTGGTGGGTGTTTGCAAGCCCACGAGCGCGCAGTCCTCCTGTGTAGGCCCCCTCTGTCCTCCAACCCTGCTGTCGACCAAGCTGGCACTCCCCGTGCGGGGAAGTGGCTCCCGAGCGGGTTTTTGCAGAGTCACGGGCCTGGGCACGGCAACCACGAGCAAAGAGTGGGACAAAGTCCCCCAGAGACTCTTTACCAATCTGCTTTGAAGGAGCTGTGCGCCAGGGGCCAAGATTTGGTGCTCGTTTTGCATGCAGGTTGGTTTTGCGTGCAGGCTTTGCCACGGTAAGGGATGTGCGTCCAGATCTGGCTGTTTGTGGTTTCCGTAAAAATAGTATATCCCTTCCAACCCTGTGCTGTTGTACAGTTTAGGGGTTTTTTACCTTTTTCTAATGGAGTTAAAGCTATGAATTTCTCACCTTCAGTAAGATTTTTGATCCTGCCTTTTCCTGGTGAAATTAGGGCATGAACTTTGTGGAGATTTGAAGAGGCTAACCCCCCCGAGTAAAGAAAAGAGGTTGCATGTGGTACAGGTCCAGTTGGAAGGACGTTCAGAAGTTGGCAAATAGTTTCTCACGACTCTGTGTGGTTCTTGGGCACTTTTTCAGCATGGCTTTCATGTTCAGTGAGGAAGAAGGCTCTGAAGAAACTATGGATTTATTTTCTCTTTGTTCTGTGAAACTCTACCCAGTTTTTGGTGTGATACGAAGTTACAAATTACAGTTTCTGTTCCCTCCCAAGTGCTTCCTGGGAAAATCTTTGCTGAAGTGACGGTTATCTTGAGAACTGCTGCACTGTGATGTGAGAGAAAAGCTTTGTATTGAATTTCTCACAGCCCCTAGGTGCACTGCTTGGCCCCATGACCCAGACACTTTTTTTTGGATGGATAAAATCAAGAGCAAAATGCCATCCAGCCCAGCCAAGGTGTATTTCACCTAGCAAAGAGCTGTTCGCCTGCACGTTGTCCACCCTCCCACCAAGATGCCCTTAAGGAATGAGCGTTTTCTACTGTGACCAACTAACCAAGTCTCTCTCCTGTAGTACCTGGCTCTGTCACCTTGCTGAAGTCAACGGCAGTGATCATTAGAGTTGTACATAATGTAACTC